AAAACTGTGGGGCCACTGCCTTTGTTGTCGCACGATTGCGACAACTTACATCATTCTTAAAATTAGTCGATTTTGGCCATACTTTTTGGCGTCAGTGTACTGAGAAAAAATGCAACAACTTAAATATGTTTGAAATACAACTAGCTAAAGATAAATGAGTAAATATTTTAATGATTTAAAATCGTGTTAGGAATCGATTTCACATAAGATAATACATTTTGTAATCCAAAACATTCAAAAATAGACTTGGTATGTTTTAGGCACCTATTTATCTTTGCCAATTGGATTTTGTTAAATTTAATTTTGGTCAATTCTCAATTTCAAATTTTCTGAGTGTACCGAAGTTGCGTGGCTGACCAAGTCCTATAGACCTGATGCCAATGCGAGTTGATGTTTATGAGAGTGGCGATGACGCGCGGCGACAATTCTTGGGAAAACACTCGACCATTTCCGCTAGTGATTATCAATTCTCGCTAGATTTAAGGTAATTTTTCTTGCGTGCGTGGGCAGCGCTGCTGTCGGCCAGTTTATGATTTGTCTGGGACAAGTTTCGATTTCAATTAAATCTCGGAGTGAATCACTTTCCCAGCAAAACGTTCACCAGTGATAATATATAAAAACCATCCAATTAATTAGCTGCATAAGCTTACCACTTTATCGCTGAATGACCCTTGCCCTACTGCATGTGTGTAAACATTTTTTCAATGAAATTGTAATATTTTTTTAGCGCACTGCAAAAATACGCCGCAACATTAATGGATGAACTCGAAATCCGAATGTTTGGTCAACTTGGGCGGGTGGGAATTATGCGGCGCGCCAAGTGACTTTAATGAAAAATCGTAAATAAAAGCGCACACAGATAAAGCGTACTTAATAAAATTTATTTGTTGCCAAGTAATGAGACGGTGCGGTGTCGATTTGTTAATGAAATTTTTAACTTTATGTTTTCCGCTCTCTGGTTCGAGAATATATATACGTAAATATTTACTCGTGTATTTGCTCTTGCTGAGTTTGTGTCGGGTGGGTTCATAAATTTGTCAATGATTTTCCACTTGACAATGCTGCAAATGGTCGCGTTTATTTACTCCACATTCTCCATCAAGTGAGCTGCTGATGTGGCGATGACCCGGATTTTGGGTTGGGGCTATGTCTGGGGTAATTCTTGTTGTGGAAACTACGAAATGGTTATTGCTTTTGTTTATTTCCAATCGTAGACATCGTGTGTTCGCTTCGAATAAGACTGGGACTGTCTTTAAATAAATAAATAAAGCAAAGTCTGGAAGGGTTGAGGTTGAGTTGTGATTATCTGTCAAAATAATGTTATTATCTTTTCGGGAAAATTGGGAGATAGAATTTACTTCAAACAATTTATAGCAAATAGCTATAGTATGTTATTCCTATCTCTGTATTTCATTTAGAAATTAAAACATCGGATTAATAGGACAAAATTGCCAATTCAATTATCTAAAAGGCAGAAGTGGAGGCAGGCCAAATAAAACATTTTTATTGTAAATTTACTTTTTCTTTGGCAAAGAGTCAAAAGATCTTTGCACTCGGAAAAGAGGAAAGTTTCTTATGTTGAGGTGTTTAAACACAACACATTTTGTGTTCGCCTTCATCGCATTCAACAAGTAAATTTGTCAGGCGGTAATTTGATTTTGTTTAGCCAAGAGAATTGAAAAACTCTGACATCGTCGCTGTTTAATTTGTAATTTGAGGCGCGCAGGCGTGACATTCAACTTGAACTATCCTGCGGCACTCACGCTCCCTGAACCCCCAACTACCAACTACCAACCCCCAACCCTGATCCCGAAATCCCCCTCGATATCCTGTCAAAATGTCAAATGATTGCGCTGACATGCATGTCGGAGTAGTCGCCGCTATCGCTGCATTCAAATATGTTTTAGCATAATTCGATTCCAAACCGATTTCTGGGCTCTCTCTGGAATGAATGTCACTCATTCTATTCGGACTAGTCGGTTGCATTATAATGAGCCGCTGCCGTTGACGTTGACCCCTTGACATTTTACAACTCGTAAGCCGAAGCCGAGCACATGTGGCAAGTTCAAAAGTTGACGGCAAATTGACTGTATTTATAAACATTTTAAAGGCGTCGCACAATAAAAAGAATAATAAGAAAAAGGAAAAGGAAAACCGAAGCAGTTCACGCCCCCCGAATGAATTTTAACATGCAATTTTTATGATTATTGTGCCGGGGGATCTATGGATCTGTGCAGGATTGGGGCGTTTTTATGATCGGTGCTCTCGTGGGCGTTTTAAGTCCACAGTTACGGTGTCATTTTGTCTACTCATTAAATCGCTGACTGGCCAAAGATCGTTATTTACTGTTTCGTTTAATTAGTAAAACATGTGATTTATGCACCCGAACGGTATCGTATCGCATTTCTCGGCAGAAGCAGGACTGGAAAATTACCAACAATTCGGCTGTCTGTCTCTGCTCTGCATACACAAAGAGAAAAGCCATTAGAGCAAAAGAGTTTCGAATAAAAAAAAAGGTTATAATGAAATTAATTTCCAGTCAATTTTATATTTAAATAAAGAATACTAAAAACATTAGGGTATGTATAGGAATGTATTTACAATGTTTTATTCTGAAATTTACAATATTATTTTTAAAAATAATTGTTTAACACAAAATATACTTAAAAAAATTAACTAATTTTATTAAAATTATGAACAAAAACAAATCGAATATTGTAATTACTAAGTAAAAAAAAAATTATATAGCATTAATTAAAATATTAATGTGTTCAACTCTTTAATTTAACTTCAACATATTACACTTAAGATTTAAATATTTACAATTTGTTTTTATTATGAACCACAAATACATAATGCCTAAAAATGAAAAAAAAATTATGAAAATAGAGGGTTCCAATATTTTTTATCTGTGTGTAGAAAATCAATGGGTCATGAGGAACGTTAGCATTAGCCGTGGCACTGGCCATGAAACGTGTCCTGGTCAGCTTTTTAATTAGTTTTGGACGGCCACTCAAAATTCGTCATTTGACGAAAGCAAAGGTTACCGAAAATGGAAAACAGAGATGGGAAAATGCAAATGCAAATGCAACAGAAAACTGACACGGGGCTACAACTCTTCATTAAATTGATTTCGCGGATTTGCAGCTGATGGAAATGCCCCCAACATGAATGACATGACTGCTCGATTACCCAAGTCGGAAAATGTGTCATGAAAATGGGTAGTCGCAACCGCAGGTGAACGAAACGAGAGGCCGGGGCACTCAGCCACCCTTTGTGAACTGCATTCGATTTCCCACGCACTTCACTCACAGCTCATAATTAAGCCCAAGTCAGCAGCCGAGTACTATATATCCCAATGGATACCCATAATCAGACGCGGAAATGTCTCGTTTGTCTGCAGACAACCCATCGAAATTAAACAGAGTGTTCGTCGGTGGCGAAGACAAGCAATAAACCCCGACTTCGGGGGCGGATCGCAGTCGCACATTTGAGTTTTCAATCAGGTTGCCATTGAGGCGTTACGTGCGACACGTCTGGGCCTTTGGGGCTGCGATGCTCTTGCTCTGGGCCACGCATCATTAACGGCTTTTTAATTGGGAATTACGAGAGGAGACGGATATTTGGGAGCGATTCCCAATGCTGGCTGGGTTCCTGGGCTAATGCTTTCCCACACAATCGATTTGATTTGCTGACATAATATTTTCCTTACTGATTCTTTCCTGAGAAAAAAGCCAAGTGGCAAAGTCCTGCCGACTTTGACTCATATCCTGATGTTATTTTTGCATTTGGCAGCATTATTTTTTCATTTTCCTAAAGCATTTCTATCATTCCACTCCTGCTGCTGGGACGTCTTTTTATATATTTTCTTAATTTCACTAAAGTTTCCATGCATATGTCCTGGCCTCTGAAAGAAAGGGCAGATGCAGCAGGAAAGAAATTCCACACAAATGCAGTATCCTACAGTATCCAGCTATAAGAATCTGTGTGTGTGGCGTGTGTGTGTGTGTGTGTATGTGGCTAAAGCATTTCAGGTTGCAGTGATAGCATAAATAAAATAAAAGCAGCAGGACGAAGATGGGAGAAAAGCGCGTGCAGAGCAAAACGTGGAAATATGCAAGAAATTCATGCTATATAGTCCGCATGCCTGTGTAAGCCTCGCGCTGGCGAAAAAATGAGAAAAATGGAAAAGTCCTCGTCTGCTGCCGCCACTGTTGCAATATTTCTCTTAATGTGTTGCATTAATTTCGCCAGCATAAAGATAAAGGAACAATGAAAAACTGTCGAGCGAACAAAAAGACGAGCTTTTTTCTTCCGTTTTTGTACGGAATCACTTTAACCAAAATACTTTCTGTCAAGCCACTCTCTTTTAATGGTCTTCACTCGACCCTATTATACTGAAATTTCGTTTGAAGTGGCAAAGAAAAACATTGCAAATGTACTTTCACCGCATTACTCTACAAACCCCTAATAACACAAGAAATGCGAGTGAGTCCATAAGCTTGAAGTTTTCTATTGCACCCGGGCATATGCAACACAAAATTTTGCTGTGGCTCTTTAAGCCTTTGTTAAGCTTTTTTAATTTCGCAAAATATATAAATCACACAGCCTCAATGACCCCATAAAAGTTGCATAATGAGATTCAGCACAAGGTTGGGAAAGTGGGAGTGCTGACAAGTTGATTGCATTCCCGTATTTCCCATTTTCTCCATTTTTCCCGTTTTCGTTTTCCGCCCCCCAGTCAACTGACAAATGCAGACGAAGTGGATCCAGACGGAGCTCCAGAATTAAAGCAATGCTGGCTGGCTGGCTGGTCAGCTGGCTGGCCGGCTGGCTGGCTGAAATTAAATGGAGAGCACATGACTGGAGCCCGTGGCCTGTGGCCAGTTGTCCGTGACCAGCCGGCCGCAAAAAGTATCTTTAATCGGATTTTAATAAAACGCTTTTAAGCAGCGCCTCCACCTGAGAATCCCCGGCCAGCAGAGAACATGTTTTTAATGTTTGTTTTTATCCCAGCCCGGAATATACACACACGTGTATATGGTTTTATTCACCTTTAACCGAATCGATCTCAGGATCGCAATCGCACCTCGCAGAACCGCTTGAACTGATTGTCGCTGAGCAGCAGAATCATTCGAAGCTGCCAGTCCGAGGGCAGAAGGTACAGCAGCCGGTAGAGAACGGATGCAAGTCCCGGCAACGTGATCTCGTGCTCACCCCGCAGCATTCCGTACACAACTCGTTGGGCCACCTCCTCGCCAGTGATCAGGGGATATAGGTTATTGATTCCGATGGTATTCGTTAGCTCCGTAATCTCATCGTTGGTGCGCAGAAAGGTGGGCAGCACGGTGGTCACATGGATGTCCTTCTGCTTCTCCAGCTGCAGCTCCATTTGCAGGGCCCTCATGTGAGCCAAGGTTCCAGCCTTGCTGGCTGTGTAAGCCGCACTGTAGGGTAGGGGGAAAATACCTGGAGAGAAAGTCAAAATCATGTATTGGATAAATCGAATAATTCTTATTTCTAGACGAGAGATTTCTCACCTGCTAGCGAACTTATGGTGACTATAAAACCCCGGCGAAACGCCTTCATTGGCGGCAGGAACACAAATTTAGTCTGCAAAAAAACAATGAACAAGTATTGAAAGATATCTAGAAATATCTAGGAACTGAAGGAGCTTAAGAAAAATTCAATTCCAACGTTTATTTTATATTTAAGGTAAATACAATGCATATTAAATTGCATGATTTTATATTAAAACATTTTCATTAACGTTGAAAACATTAGATTTAAAACAGTTTATATGAGTTAAATATGGTTTAAATATAAATTACATTTTTGGATATTAAAATCCCCTTCAAAAAAGGCAAATGAAAATTTTTTTAAATATTGATCATTTTATGTTTCAAACTTAAATAAACTCACCCAGAAGTGCGACGTAAGATTAACGTCGATCATTAGCTGCACATCAGCCGGTTCGGGGTCCAATGAATTGCGATGCAACATTACGCCGGCATTGTTTATTAGAACAGTAACCGGTCCCAGATCACCGACCACTTTTGAATTGAGCTCAACAATTTCTTTATGACTAGTAACATTTGCCTATAGATTTTTAATTGATTGTTACATATAGTTAAGTAAACAATTACAATTGACTATAATAATAATTGACACTTAAAAGCCAGCCTTTCAGGTGACCTTACCTCAAAGAATTTAAATTCAATTACCTTGTAGGCTTTGGCGCGAACATTATAGGTTTCCTGGATTTGCTTGACGGTGTTCTCGGCCCCGGACAAATTGATATCTACAACGGCAATGTGGCAGCCCTTCTTGGCCAGCTCCAGCGAAATGGCTCGACCTAGACCATGACCAGCTCCAGTAACCTTAGTAAAACAAAATGTATACTAAGACCAACGCTTATCAAGTTTATGACTCACAAAAAAAACTTTTAAATTAAAAGGTAATGGGGTACCTTATGTATAAATAAACATTTAATTTAATACTTTAATACTAACAAGAATAATTTTTTGAAATGAATTTAGCTTATTACGCTGAATTAAAAAACAGAAACTCAGGGTTTAATAAAAATAATTTAATAAAAACATTATTTTCATCGAATAAAAGGCTGAAAGTCGCAGCTGAAAAAAAAAACCATTGAAACAATAGCAATCGAAGCGGTTTATATTTACACCATTTAGTTCACCATGTATAACTCGAAAGTAATGCGTTTGAAAGCGCAAGCTAAGCCGAAGTTTGTTATTTGATTACTTCGAGTTTTGTGTTTGTTTGCTGGCCAGCAACTCACCACGGCCACTTCTCCCTCGATGCTCTTCGGCGGTGAGCAGCAGCAGAGTTTGGCGATCAGCCGGCTGAGAATCGCGGCCGAGACGAGCAGTGGAGTAAGAGCCACGAGGCCGATCAGTCCAAACAGGGCCTGCAGTTTTATTAGAGCGGCACGGACTTGCGACATTTTTCCGCCGATTGGAGTAACGACCGAGCCGCGAGAGTGGCGAAAACGCTTTGAGTTTGAGTCGCAAGTCGCGAATCTCGAGCCGTGAAACGCGGATCGATCGGCTAAAACTGGCTTGCCGTCGAGACTGCAATTCGAGTGATTCCGCACTGACCCGGTTAGCAGGGTTCGGCAATTAGCCGCGACTTCGAGCGCATTTATTAAATTCGAACGTGTGGCAAGCGCCGAAATGACAACCCATTTACCAATCGAAAAGGCGGCCCCAACTCCGCAGGAAAATTGGAGGAGATGACATTGTCAGCAAATATGGTAAATAGAAAATTCACCTCCTGCACAGATGAGACAGTCGCGGCCGCGGTAAGTAATGTTCAATATGGGCGCACAGCAGCAGCAACAGCAACAACAATCACAGCACGAACGCAGCCCATTAGTAATAAATAAAAGCAATTTTTTGTGAACTACAAATTTACAACAGCATGAGCATCCAAACATATACACTTACACAAACATTCTGGGCTCCAGCTCAATAAAAACAGAACGAAACGAAACGAAACGAAAAAAATATCAAGAGATGCCAACGAAAAAATGATTTTCTGACAATAAAGTGGATATCCATAAACGAAAACGAGTAGAGGCAAAAAATCGGAGCACCAGCATATATAGATATGGAAAAAAAGAATAGAGCCAGCCAAAGGATAATTTTATATGGGCGTGGAAATGGGAGGGGGAATAGAGTGGGACAGGGCGAATGCCGGCTGTGGTTTTAGTTAAAAATAACAGAGAGTGAACGACAAAAACGAGATTCGTGAAATATGTATATTTGATATTCAGTTTTTTGTAGGGTGCTTAAGCTGCTCGATACAACTTGCCATTAATTTGCAGACTAATGAAAATATTATTAATCCAGTAGTGGGCAAAAAATATTTACTGTATTTATTATCATGTTGAGGAGATAAATAATTGATGAATACATTTTATGTGATGCATTTTAAGCTGAAAGGACTTATCACAATTTATAAATTATTTATTTTTAATGTTAATATTGTAACTAAAATTTGTAATATAAATACACAAAAATAATATATATTAAATAACTTTTCTATTTAATATTTTTTTAAATTATATTTTATTTGTTTCTTTGTGGACTTCGGCCATTTATTTCTTTTAAGCTTATTTTAGGGCATTGAAAAGAAATATTAGACCTAAATTTGTTTAAATACAAGTTTCATGTACAATATGTCCAACATTTTTAAAAGGGTATGGAAAATTTGCTTTTCTGAAAACTAGATGACTATTGCCTATCACATCTCTTTCTTCTCCCGCTATGGCAATGGCATTTTAATAGAGTTTTTGGCCGGGCCAAGGTGCTGCAGCAATCGGAGCAGCTTAGTCGCCACTACGCCACCCCGCGACCTATACACCCACCCTCCCCCAGGCCCACACTTGCGACAATTTCGTTATTGTATCAATTGATTGCACTTGGCGCACTCGAGGGCATGTGTCGATCGCTGGCGGAATAGCTTTGGTTCAGAAACCGCCACCACCACCACCGCATTTTCTTAGCCGCACATATGCGGCCTGGAATTCGACTTTGGGTTCGTTTCCATGCATTTTGGCGCAATTACGAATCCTACTTCTGAGCTGAGGAATCACTATTTTTTACCACGCTGCACGTGATGCAGTTTTGTATTTATTTAAGCGAACGCTCGTTTTTAGATGTTGCCAAAATCGGGTCACACTTTGTGCACGTGGTGCCGTCGCTCTTTGCATGCGACTTTTTTGCGGCTATCGGGCTCGGATGATTTATGGGCACGGCGTCTGCGTATTCGGAGGAGCACATGGCACCAGCCAGTGCCTCCCCCGGTAAATGTTCCAATTCCAACCTTATCCGCGGTCATAAGTTATGATGAAGATACAGACACTCGAGCAGCCCGCTGTAACTCCCTTAATTGTTAAAACTCAGTGCCACTCAGCGGTATTCCGATCAAAACACTTCAGTTTCAGCTCAAAGGGCACTCAAAGAACTCTGGCGGTGAAGTGAGGAATGCAAATCAGTAATGCCAACTCTGGAACACAACGAAAACTAGCCAAGTGTGTCATTAAAAATGTATATTTAAACTAAAAAAATATTTATGAGAAATAAATTGTGTTTATTCAGATATAAAAATTTTATTCACAAAATAGGAAATTATAACAATCAATCAAACTTTTTTAAATTTGTAACTTCAGCGGTAAATAGCTAAATTTAAATAGAAAATGCCCAAGTTGATTGCACTGCCTTTGAGGCAGCGCTAGAAAAATGTAGTAAAGTGCTTAAGGTAAAGGATTAGTGGTGTGGTTAAACCTGTGCTCCGAAGTTTCCCACGCAAAGGATAAGCGAAAGGCTGAAGCCGCAGCTGGCGTTTCATAGTGAAAAGTGTTGAGCGGAGTTTGAGTGCTCAAACGCGTTAATCGCTATGCTCTATCCGTTTTTTCCATTAGTTTTGTAATATATCACATTAGCATGTCGAGCACTCAGAGCTTAGGAGTCTTCTAAAAGACAAAGGCCAAAAGAAAAAAAGGGAGAAGGCGAGGCAATTTCTCAGCGCGACTGTCAACACCAATCTGAAGTGCTACCGCGTCACCAGCAACGGCAGCAAACACAGGACATAATGAGACAGCCACGGATAACAGGCCATTTCGATTATGATCCTCGAACATGTGTTTCAGTTTAGACATGCAAATGCAACAAGTACCCACACAGCCAGTAAAGTAAATAAATTAGCTGGTCGTGTAATGCCTAAGGATGCGGAGTATCGAAAACATTCTGCAACACGACACCACGGCCAGGACTCACCAGCAACAGCTACAGCTACAGCTACTGCATCCCGGCCTCGAATGTGTTTGAATGTGTTTGAATGTGTTTGTTTAGGTGCAAGGATAACGCGTTCTCACGGCTGCCAGGAGCATCCGCATGGGCTGCAGTGCAGCCAAAATCCACTTGAACCCGCACTGACAGTTGCATGTCATAATTCAACGGACGGCAGGTTGCCAGGATAATCAAGTTGCAGCTCCTGCTCCCGTCGCTGTTTGTTTAGCTGAGGTTTTCCTGCCTGCCACTCGTTCCCCATATCATTTTCCCTTCGTTTTATTGCTCCCGAAGATGGGATAATCCTTATTGACATATTTATGCACGGTTCAAGCAACGAAATGGAAATTTTAGGCGTCGCATGGCTCGCTGGCATTTGCCTTTCACGGGGGCGTGGCACTGGGCTAATGGGCACCACATGTAAGTATCTCTAGGTGAATGAATTAATGTCCCGCCTCCAGAGCTCTTTTGAGGTTCACACAGAACAAAAATGCGAAACTTTTCAAAGGAGATCAGATCATAAAAATATTATTTTCAATTACATGTGCTATGGTTTTTAATGGAAATCAAAATTGACAAGAATATTAAAGATTGTTTTATTTTTTTTATCAGATCTAAAGCCCCAAACACAAAGAAACAATAAAAGTAAATCGTACGCAATTATATTTAAATTTTAAAATATATTTTACATTTTTTAAAAGTGTTAAGCTCTATTGCTAAATGTTGCTCTTAATCTTAGTTCTGCTTTCAGATGCAGTAATATTTCTAAAAAATTTCAAACAAGGATACTGACTTGCATTAATTTAAGAGCCTTAAATTTTGTTCTGTGCAGCAGCAGTCTAAGTCTGAGTTTCGAGTTCAAGGTGCAGCACATGGCTGTCGAGTTCTGTGGGAATTATCTAAGGAAAATACGTTACAGCGGGCGGCCAACACCTGTGTCAATGCGGCAGATCGGGCGTTGCGTTGCTTAATTCTTGTAATTAATTTTCCGTGCCACAGACAGACGTATTTGCACACACACAGCTAAACACACAGACGGAGAAGGAGAAGGTGACGGTGACGGTGACAGAGGGAAAGGACAATGGAGGATGTCCTGATGCAAGGCATTAACTGAGCATGCAAACGATGCGTCAACGATGGTCCTCGGCCCAGGCGTCTAACGCTATTATTTACACAACAAACACTTGTAATTACACAAAGGGCGGAGAGTGGGTGGCCACAGGAGCAGCTCGAGCAGCAGAAGGAGCAGGAGCAGGAGCCGCAATTAAAAGCGAAAGGATAAACACAAATAAATGAGCGACACAAAAGGGGCAGACAAGACGGCTGCAGCTGACTCGGCTGACTTGGCTGACTGGGGCCAAGACAAAGGCAAAACTCCGGACAAAAGACAACAGTGACAGGCGGACGGCATTAAATAATTGCTCATACACGAGTGCTACGCACAAAAGCAGTTAGAACAGGATCAGGAACAGGACAAGCCAAGCCGGCCAAAAAATTGTTCAGCACGTGTTGCAGCTTGCCTCGACAATTCCAAGCCAAAGCAAACCAAAGCAAGCCCCTTCCACCTTTTTTGACTGGGTGTGTGAAAACTAGTTAACAGCTTTTATTTACTTGGCAAACAGACTGAAACGTTGTAAAACAACAATTGCTTAAGCCGCAGGATATAAGCATAACAGCACTCACAAGCACACACGTCCTTCCACTGCGAAAAAAAGCCAGGATTGAGAAACATATCTAAAGTTCCTGATAGAAGACAGATTCCTTTTCAAGATATAACCACCTAAATTACGAAAGGAGAGAATTTTAAGGAAATTAACCCTTTGGAATTTCTTAAAAAATGTAAAAATAGTTAAGTAATTTAAAAGTCTTAATATGACTTTTATATTAATATGTATATATATATATACATATATATTATATTTTATGACAATATTTTAGACATGGAAACGGAACTTTTCTCTCTCAGTGTGCGCACGCAGGAACACGAACATGACCGGCTTGGCCAAAAAGTCCACGTTGTCCACTGTGGTCAGCGGAATGGAGGCGACGCTGATGAAGGCGAGCGTGCAACTGACTGCGGCGCTCGGCCATCTCATAACCAAAGTGAAAAGTTGGAAAACAATAACAGGCAACGAGGAGGCGGGGCACACATGTCCTGCCTGAGCAATCGCCTCGAATGCGGGAAAGCGTGCAAGCGGAATCCTCGGGGCAGGATGGCCCCCGGAACGAGGTCTGCGCCGTGACAAAGTTTATGGACCACAATGGGGCAGCTCACTCAGCTCATTCGCCTCGACTCACTCAGCTGCCAAGTGGGCAGGGCGGGTACAACGTGGCGTATGCACAACGCACAAGGACTACCGCCCTTGCAGAAAGGCCATACACATAAATTATATGCCTTTATTGAGGCAAAACATTGTAAAAAGCAAATGCAACAGCATCAACTTGATGACATGAACAGCATTGCTGGGTTAATGCAACAACAGAAACAGTAAACGGAGCCGAAGCAATGGCAACAATGAAACTTTCAGTAAACAAACGAGGCAAACCAAGCGCTTTCAACTAATGATGTCGACCAGAAACCAAAATGCATTGAAAATGGGCTGCAACCAGTTGAGCCTTGGATTTAGGGCTCGAAAGCTGTGCGGAAAATTCAAAACCAGCCGATGACAGCCTCAAGAACAGATCCAAGCATATTCTTGAACAACCAGGCAGCAACTCGAAGTGTAGGATATCGGCAAGGAAAATGCGTATGCACATGTGGGCCAGGGCGGTGACAACAAAAGCCTGCTTAATGACAATAATAACAGATTTTAGCCAACCACAAAGAAAACGTCAGCAGAGGCAAAGACATCCTTTTTGTGGCCAGCCTCAGGACCAGGTCGGTTAATGGCCTGTGAGTCTGGCAGGAAGTGCAGCTCTTCAGCTACGGACTGCTGTTCATATGCGTTCGAGTGCCGACATCACCTCGTTGCAGTTGCAGTTGCAGTGGCAGTCACTTTGAATGAAAATTCATTAAGTGAAAATGCGTAAGCCGGACAAAAGAAACAGGAACTGTGGCAGCAGCGTAATCCTCTTAATAGCTGAAAGCGACCACATCGTTGAACACACCGGTCACTTCCCCACTTCCGTCAGCCATCAGCGATTGGCTCAATTTGCCTTCAATTAAAAATAAATTGAAGCACCTTGTTCTGCGGCTAACTAAATAGTCGCACTACAGTTCCACTCGATTTCCCCCCTTTTTTATTTCAGAAAACGGGGTTCGGGGATTGGGAATCGGGAACGCGACCACCGCAGTATGGGGCCAAAAAAAAATTGATTTCAACTTCGGCTGCCGCCGCGTATTTATAGGCTGAACTGTCACTTTCCCCTTTTCTGGCTTTTTACTTTATACCAATCCAAAACCCAGTCCCAACAAAGAGTTCTCGAAAAGAGAGCATAAAGTAAAACAAACAAATCATGCACCGATACACACACATAAAAATGCATAAATATTCTATTTTGAGTTGACATTTTGACAAGTGAATATGAATATTGCAGGCGTGGCGTACAATTTATAATTGATATGTATAAATAATGACAAAGCCATTTTGTAAATGGATTTAATGAAATGTACGAGTGTAGCTTTGGTAATAGGTCGCCCATTACAAACAAAGCAAAACAAACAATCAATTAAAGGGGGAATAGACTATCAAGTACCCTGGCTTTTACTATCAGGAAAATCTTATCAGTAGCATCAACTTCGTATATCTTAATTGGAAAGATTCAAAAATATTATTAAAAACTATTGTTTGATTTGAGTATGACTGTTATTTTTACATCATAAATTACAAATTGTTTCTCTATTAATGATTATTTAATAGATTTTAATGCTGTAAATAATTCAACTCTGAATCAGCTGCCCTATATACCCAGCGACCCACAAATTACAGGTGCAATCAGTTAAATAAAGTACACTTAATATTTCACATTTTCGTCTATTAAAAGCAAAAGCGCCAAAGTCAGTTAGTTGCCATTTCAATTAATTAATTAATTCCGCTTTTGCAAAAATTACGTTTAGACGGTGAAACAAATTTAACAAAAGTATATACAAAGAACAATTATGTTGTTTTTAATAGTAATACATGTTTTATGAGAAGGCTCAGATCATTTTGTTCAAATAACTTGACCGTCTGAATTTTAATAGGAATTTAAAACAAAGTTAAATATGTTATACACTTCAAATTTGTCAACTTAAAATAGCACCCCAAAAAATGTGTGTCAAAATCTAGGGTGAAACTAAATTTAAGTTAAATTGGCAACTGATTTTCTGCCTTAGTTGCCCAGATGGAAAGCGGCGAGGAGCAGCTGCAGCTCGAGCTGGATAGGATTTCGGAGGCGAGTCACCAGGTCAGCAGCTTCGATGACCTCATGGCCCTGACCATCAACTCGGAGCGCTTAATGGCAAGGGTCAACTCGAGCCTGGACGCCCTGAACTCCGCCCTCGACCGTCTGGAGGAGCGGACGGATTACGTTCTCTTGGAGATTCGGCGGATAATCGGAGCAGAAACGCGGCTGCAAAGTCCGCACGATGGGTGCGGAGATCCAGATGCCAGGGCGTAGGCTGGTAAACCCAATGTAAATTGACAGGTCGTTAAGATCTATGAATATATTAAATAGATACATTTGAATATCTTCATTCCTTAATTTTTTAATGAAACAAATAGGGTCATTCTTGGCCAAATTAAAACAGTTAACTACAAACATATTAATGCGAATTTCACCGGGATACTTTTATTTTTGCTAGCACTATGCTTTCGTTTTTAGTTTGCATATAGTCTTAAGTAATGTGGGTTCTTGGTTTCTAATATGGTATAAGAATATGTTCTTTTGAAAAAAGTTCGAAAAAATGTATCAGTTTTTTCTGTTTCGAATTGAATTGGGATTGGAAAACTTCGCGGGGGCATTAAAGCTGGCAGAAGATCCATAAAACGGCAGACAGTTTGTTTGTTTTTTATGAGAATTGTAACCCTAGCACACAAATAATTAGTGAGCTATTTTTATGGATCGGCGACGGGGCTGCGCTTGCGCATTAAAAACTGAATATTGAGTTTTGAGTACGGAGTACGGAGTACTGCCGCGGGTGCAGAAGAATCAGGTGCTGGGGGTCTTCATCCACAATCGTAATTAGAATTTCCATTCTCGAGGAGTGTGCGTGTGTGTTGTTGATATTTGTGCACATGTTGCAATGCATTTGAAGAACTCGTCGTGCACTTAATCACTTGAGCCGTTGGCACCATATGGGGTCCTTTTTGTTTTCTATTTTGTGCGTTTGTGTTTTGTGTGCCGAACAGCATCGGCATCTGGTGCATGGAATATAGACCGGTATATAGGCCGGTATAACCTGTTATCCAGATACGGCGACTGAGCCAAAAATTATGCCACAAAGCTGCTGGCGAATCTGGCACTCGACAGCGTTTAATTAACAATTAATAAAACTTTTAATTTGCGACCAACTGGCACTGCACTCCGCCGATGACAGCGCTAAATATTATGTTAATGGCAGATGGGGCAGATGGGGAATTGGATAATGCCCGCAGATCCCAGTCATTTGCCCTGGTAATTCTTCATTAATCAGCAGCGCAATCATTTACGTAAAGCGCGAGCGATGGAAATGCGTCGAGCAAGCAAACCTAATTACAAGTTATGAATATCTCATCGGATATTAAATCAATGGCCGGCATTAAGTCCAACAAGCCACGACCATGATGATGGTGATGATGGTGATGATGATGTGGAGCGATGAATGGCTTGGTTTGCCCGGTATCGTTGTCCGTCCGCTTGTCCGTTTGTCCAAACGGAAGTGGCGACACTTAATTGCGTATTGAGTGCATTTTCAATTTTTATTGCACCGCGCTTGCAGTCGAGCATTATGTGCTGCGGTGTGGCGTGGTCATTAAATCCACTACCACTGCTGGGAAGTATGCTACGAATATGCAATTTGCCGCCCCCCCGCCATCAGATCCGCCACAGTGGGCGTGGCAATTACGCCCCCGAATTCATTAACAGTATCTAGTAAGCGATAACCACCATAATAATCGATGCTGGAGCTTGTAGCCTTTATCAGGGAGCGCATATGCAAAACAATTTTCCCATCCCGCAATCGGAGATAAACGATGAAGTCAGTCTTTATAAGTCATCCAAACATTGCGGTCTAGAAAAAATGAGAGCTGCCATGTGGTTAACTGTTCTTTTGGTGACCTTGATGGGTCACGAACCCACCGCTGCCGTGGAATTCGCAGAGTGTGCCAGTGCCCCAGAAATGGGCATCTACGTGGCCAGCTCCAGTAATTGCTCCAAGTACATTTACTGCGCTGGTCCCGGATCTTTTGAGGCCGAGTGCCTGGCCGGCCATTACTACGACGAGGATCTGGACCGCTGTGTGGATCGGGAGTTGGTAAAGAGGTGCCAGGATCCACTGACCAGCAAGTCACCTTCGGTGGTTAAGAAACCACAACCACCGGCCATGGCGACTCAGACGACGGAACCACTGGCCATCACTCTGCGACTCCTACCAAATGCCGGACCCTGTTATCCCTACATGGTGTGCTTCGAAGGAGCGGGCCTCACGAGTGCCTGTACACCCGCCCATCTGGTGTCCTGCAATCGTCGCCAATCGCCGGAGATCATTACCCAGTGCCAGTCTGGAGTCTATGGATTTATGCCACATCCTCGAAACTGCGCCTACTTCTACTACTGCTCCAGTGGCTCCAAGCACATCCACCGATGTCCCTTGAACTACACCTGGCACTACGAACGCAGGTCCTGTGTCCAGCAATCCGAGAAGAAGTGCTTTTCCGAGAGAATTCGCCTTGTCAAAAAGAAGCAGCCATAACTCTAATGTTAGGATATAGATTTAATTTAAGTTAAATATTCGTATAAATAGCTAAAGGTGTACTCCTAGCGTAGGCAACAGTTTAATTAAGAACCGCAATTGGGAAACAAACAAGCGCTCCTCGCGTAAATGCTTCAGGGATGGGACGTTGCTCCCTCTACTTCCAGTAGAACAGGTGCGAGCTGCGCACATCGAAGTGGTAGAATCGCAACAGCATGTAATCCTGCCACTTGGTGGGCAGCAATCTAAAGGGAAGCGAAGGTAATAACCGTATGAACTAATGAACAAATAGCTGGGCTAATTCAATTCTCACCTAAGCAGCCACACACTGAGTGCGAATATTTTTGGCACGTACACCATGCGCTCGTTCAGCAGCACGCCCCTGACAATCTTCTCCGCCACATATGGCGTGGGCAGTCCGGGATAGCTCTTCGCAATGCTGAAATAGACAGTTGGATCAGATCCTGAGATCAGGCTATATAATAACCAATTCTAACCCCGCATCGCTGAGAAGTGGCAGATCCCCGCTGGTTCGCATCAGATAGGCATTGGCCACTGTGGTGCGTACGTAGTCGCAGTCGGACAGCCTCAGTTCGGCCCGCAGCGACTCCATGAAGCCCTCGATTCCGTATTTGGTGGCCGTGTAGATACCCGCTCCCGGCAGAGGAACCAGACCTGAATGGAGAATGTGAGAATGTGCAGTTTAAATATTAAATAGTTTACTCACCCGCCAGAGCATTCACTGCCACCAGGTGACCAGTCTTGCGGGTTATCATCTTCGGCAGGAACTCCTTGGTGGTCTGGCAAAAAATATATCAGAATTTTAGAAATTTAAGTTATTAGGGAGATAACATAAATATGCCTTCATTTTAAAAATGACCATAAAGCTATTGAAACTGAATTATTTAATATTTAGCAATCTAAATTTTACGCTTCACCTAAATCCTAAATAAGTTTAAATATAGACAGCTTTTGAATAAAACAGATAACTTCTTCAAAACCATTAAAATTGATATTTCAAAAGTTTTATATTTTACCAAAAGTTTTCAATTTGTCAATATAGCTTTTAAGTTATGATTGAAAGAGTTTCTGAAATCGAAGCTTATTAAACAGACTTCTCTTAGCCGAAGTTATGTTGATTCAAACTTGAAAAATAGTCGACCAATTTCAAATTCTTAAATTATTATAATTTTTAAGGCATTAAAGGATTATTTTAGAACTCACCATAATGTAGGAACCCAGGTTGAGCTGTAGAATCGTGTCGATTTCATCGCTCTTGAGGGTGGGCGTGGAGGTCATGGGCATGAGGGAGGCATTGTTGACCAGAATGTCCACTGGGCCCAGTTCCTTCTCCACCTTGGCGGCCATCAGCTGCAGTTCGCGCGGCGAGGAGACATCGTTCTGGCATAGACAAGGGTATTAAGTGGCCAGAACGTAACCAACAGTCCGATGGGATCTCACCTTGTAGGCCTTGGCCACGCACCTCGGGATCTTCGAGAGCAGCTCCACCGTTTCGTAACAGCCCTTGGAGTTGACATCCACGACGGCCAACTTGCAGCCACGACGAGCCAGCTCCAAACAGATCTCGCGACCCAGGCCGCTGCCTCCGCCGGTCACCTGCAGTGCAATCACAGGTTATTCACTGTATACTCAAGCAAATTAATTAGCTTAATTTGCAAACAATCAACTACAGCTAATGTGACTTTGCATTGAACAAAAACCTCATTTACGGACAATTATGTGAGTAGCAGCGGCAACTCATCCGACTTATGAATGGCATTACGCATACGCTCGGTGGGCCGACCCTCTCGGGCACAATTGAGTGACTTTTGACCGTAATTAAAGCGGACCTGGTGATCTCAGCCCCCCGGTGGGTGGTGGTTGGGTGGCTGTTTAAAAATTTAACCCGGAATGGGTTCAATCGAAAGTTTGACACGTTGGTGAACAGCAACGGTATAACAATAACAAATGCGCATTTGTTGTGGTTATAGCATCGCTGGAGAATTTCAATATCATATGCAAATTAACTGTGGCAACACCAGTTGAGCTTTATCTACGCATCTGAGAGATATACCCGGCGTGCTTCGCAGATACTTTTGCCCTCCAAAAGTTCCACACGCTGTTGTTTACAAACGTCAGCGATCGTTCGCGTTCTAAAAAACAAAAGTGAAGTTCCAGAGGTTTGCATTTTTGCGTTCTTTCATTTTCATCTTGGTATAAATATAGCGACACGGAAAACCAGTTTGGGGCTGTTCAGGGGCGCCCTAAAAAGGGGTACTTTGGGTTCTGAAATACCCCGAATTCCCCAACAATGATGTCAATAGAATTTATCAACGAAAGTCAATCTTCTAATTAAGTTGCTTCTCACAGCTGGGCTGAGAAAACCCCCGACCCCCCGCTCAGTACACCACTGTGCAACCGCAAAAACGTATCTGTATTTGTATTCGTATTTGTATTTGTATCTGAGAAAACGATATCTGAGGGAACGATCGAAAAAGCTGAGACTAAAACAAAAATCGAGGCATCATGATTCATTAATGCGGTACGTGAGACGCTTATGGCCGGCACACGCCCACGTTTAAAGCCTGAAAAGCATGCTAATGGGTTCCGAATTCGATCAGGTTCCTTACTATACAATATGGAGCATCGCCTCATCTCTCCAGTCACCTACACACTTGACCTTGTCCAGTGGCGTCGGCGCCCCAGCAATTGACTTCTCCACAATAAGGTGCCCCATACTGCATATGTCATAAATGGAGCGCGATATGGTGTTGCCATGAGCACGATTTTCAGTTGGAGGTTTTCTTTGATTGCAGCCTTTTTACATGGAAATGATGTCACATTAACTGACCGTGACATGATCTAAACAGTTAGCAAACTACTAAGCGAGCTGGTACCAAACGCATAAATATTTACTTAAACAACACAATGCTAAGCGATCGCCATCGGCCGCACCCAATGCCAGTGACATTAAAATAAGAGAAGAAAGTAAAATAAAAGAAAAGAAAAGCGGGAATGGGGAAGGCGGAAGGGGGAACGGGGAAAAGGTGGGCGTGGAAACCGGAGGCAGCCACTGGAAAAGGAAAGTGCGTGACGTTGCGACTAGTTTCTGGATGGCTGCTTGGAACTTAGATATTAGATCTCATATTTAAGAGATACACTAAGAAAAAACATATATGATTACCATGTTGTAGTTTGATATAATTTCACATTTCAATTTACTACACTGTCGCAATTAACAGTTGTTGCAGTTGTAAGATTTGAACCCTTAATTTGCCACTTATGTGGTTAAACATTTAACAAATTTTTCTGTGTGTCATACCCATGTTAGATGTATATCTGAGTAGCCTTATTAATGGCTCATTTGCCAATCGCTTATGGCAGTCATTAGTTACTCGTTGGAGGAGCTTTAACGATCTTACCAGGGCCACTTTGCCACTGACATCCTTCTCCTTGAGGCCCAAAGCAAATAGGTAATCCAGCAGATGCTTTAGGAAGACGGCCAGCAAGACCAGGGGCAGGAAGAGCAGAAAGACGATGACTTTCAAGTTGAAGATGGCTCGTGTGGTCTCATCATTGCGATGCGCCTGCGCGGCCACCTGAGCGGCAGTGGGCGTGGCCGCGGAGCCAGTGGGTCCAGTTACCGTTACCGCACCCGCCGGCACCGCCGAAGTGGTTCGCGTTATGGTGGTTGTCGTCGCCGTTTCCACCATCACTCGCAGTTTATTGCACTCAAAAGTGGTTGAAATGCAGGAGATTTATGTATGTATATAGTGGGTATATGTATTTATTAGGCTAGATATTTTCGCGGTCAAAGTGAAAGCACACGCGACTCCAAAACAGATGCAACGCGTCGAAGATCAGGCAGCAGACTAAAAACGCCAACGCCAAAGCCAACAGCCGAATGCGAATGCCAAACAACGTGTACAAGCTTTCGACTCTATGGCAGTATTTCCCCATTGAGTGAAGATCGCCGGGCGAACGCTCGTCGTTATCTGGTTTTCGTATCTACGACTGCAGATTTGAGTGGGCAGGCACCTTTGAGTGGAAACGAGAAGAGTGAAGTTACCGCTTTTCACCTGACGTCTTGGCCGGGCTTTCTGTTTTTTGTTTGGCTCTGGCTTTGTTGTTTTCCCCACGCGCACAGTGGGCACTGCGGATGAAGATGGGCCCCGATAAAAACTCTATCCCAGTTGTTTGCTTTCACTTTATCTTCATCTGGCCCGTAAATATGTGGTATCTAGCTGGTTAAAATGATAAACAACCGCTTACTGTTTATCTCCCACCTCTTGACCTTCCTTCTGGAATAATAAGGCAAGTGATTAATCACCAGCACCCACTGTATGCAACTTTCGCATTGTCAACCTTTTGCCACCACTCAATCAAAAAATACTCAAATATTTAATTGGACCTCCAAGGTGAGTGCATCGCTGGAGAAAATTACATGGACAAAAATTTATATTTTTTAACTTCGGTTAGATAAAAAATTACTTAACAATTTCTTCGGTGAAAGCGAAGATGTTTTTTTAGAACATTTTCTCAGCTCGTTTTTTAAAGCCCTTTCTATGGTAAATACTTTTGAATAACTAATTGGGTACCAAGAAATTTCTAGGGCATGACTAAATATATAATTAAAAATGTAAGCATGCAGAATTGTGATGAGTAATAAATGGGTAATAAACGTACGCTGATAATGTTGTATTATACAAATATAATGTCTCATATGATTTACACCTACAGGATGTGACAAAGTGTTTCACCAGCTAAGTTACCAAACATTGTGACTTATTTTGTTTTATTATTTTTGCAAGTTTTATTATTCAATATAGTTTTTAGTTAGTTTAGCTGAGTTGTCCAATTGCCATACTTATGTATTTCAATATTTTCTATATGGAAACATCGACTTGAGCTCATATTTGTACCCCGTACAGTAGAGACCCTTACCTCAAGTGAACTCAACTCAAAAGCAACACCGCTTCGCTTGGCACTCGCCCAACGAGAGTTGAGTGAGTCGGTCCGGTCGTTGAGCGTTTTGCAGTCGACCCATTTTCGAGGTGCCAAACTGGTAGGCCAGCCAGGCGAAAAAGGAAAGGCCCCAAATGGATGCCGATACATCCGCCTTTTCAGCATTGTGGCGGTGGCCACGGTGGCTCATCCATTCCGTTACAATTAAGGCATACTTAATGCCCTGCCCTAGGTCAATGAACAGCGATCGGATCGGTGTGCTAGCGTAAACATTCAGCTGCAGCATGTGGCAAAAGCTAAAGTCGTCGGCAGCTGCGGCATAGTGTCAACATCTGGTGTTTTTTATTTTTTGCTGCCTCTTTTTGCATCTTCGCACATGTGCAACGTTGGCGAACGCATGCGCCCTGCTTGAGGTTGTTGTTTTAAGCATAGAACTAAAACCAAAGACGCGCAGATACGGGTATAAATAAAATATGTAAATGCAGCCCAGCGATTTTGACATATTAGCAGACTAGCTGAGATGGATCCCGAGGGCATTGACCGCACACAAGCCACACATGTCACATAGCATGCGCTTTGCGGCAGGAGTACAGTAGGGTCTGGGCATTGGCGAACACCACGGGCATCTGCTGGTAAAACATGGCCACTCTTTAATTACTTAACTTTTGGCTTATTTGTACAGAGTATGGATAGTTCAATCTTGTGTTACACATAACTTACATATCTCCTTTAAATCGTAGTTAACATCAGTATAATATTATCAAAAATATAAAACATTTTTCATTCTGGCCTATTCACGCATGCCAAAATCGTATAGGAATATCACTGTTAAACACCTAACAAGCAAACAACTGAAGAGATGTATACCTATACCTCGCAGTTGCAAGGTGTCTGATGATTCTAGGAATAGAGTAGTAGAAACGTAGAGTAGCCCTCGAGTCATGGCAGCTCATGGGCGCAGTCTGTAACGATAGTCAGGTAAGTACGAATGCATCTAACGATCAACCGATTCGTTTGCTTACTCTTCAGGTGCAACAACTTCTTGGCATGGCGACGAAGAGACTCCTGGTTGGGATTGCGAAGCACTTCAGCTGCCGCCTCCTTGATCATGCCCTCTATGCTCTGCAGCAGACACTCCTTTTTGGGGCAGGTAATGGCCAGACGGTACTCGCCGTTCTTATTGCGCGACACGTTCCAATCTGTGATGGTGTCGGCCTCGTGGCTGTCGTTGCTCTCCGTCTCCTCCTTTTTAATATCATTCTTATACGAACCTGTGCGCCGACGCAGCTTCGATGGCTTTACATCCGGCTCATCTTCATCGGTGGCGTCCGCCACGGTCTTGCGTTTCTTGACGCCATTCAGTTGGCGTTCGTCTTGGTTACGATCCCGTTTCGGGCACGTGCAGATTTTGACTTCCATAACCTGCTGACCCAGGATATCGCCACTGCAAGAGGCGGGAAAAAGTTTAAGTTTAAGTAGTAGAGAGCTGCTGTATCTGAAGTTCAGAGTCTCCAATCACACCTTGGGTTCTCCAGACAAAAGACCAAGCAGGTCTCCTTTCGACCAATGCACGAATTTTGGCAGACAAACTTGAAGGCCAGGGTCTGGCGCACGTGGCCGCCGCTCCGGTTGCCAGAGCGACAAATGGTCAGGGGAATCAGCACGGAGTAGCGTTCCGAAATGCCCTTGCCCTGTGCGGTTCCGCAGTACGTGCTGTTGGGATTCTCGCAGCGCAGCAAACTCTCGCGCATCTTTGCGTTCTGGCTGGTCACTTAAGTATAGAGTAACATTAGAGATATCTACCGGATTTTTCCTTATACATCCACTTACCTGGCTCTACGCTGAGGTGATTCTGGCATCGCAGCACCGGACCGCTCACATCCTTGGTGAAGCAGAGAAAGACACGCAGATTGAGCGGCTGGATGGGCATCTTCGCCTTGAACTGAACGTCCACATTGAAGATCTTGTCCATGCGAATGTAGAGCTTGTTCAGCGGCACCGAGAACATCCAGTGCGACTTGGGCGGCTCGTCCAGAACCATGCTGAAGTTGTAGCCACCGATGTTGTGGTTCTCCAGCTTGGGCAGCGTGTTCACCTGGCTCTGGAGGTCCTGCAGCATCATCTCGCGCAGCACGGATTGCTGGAAAGAAAAGCAGGGTAACTTAAGCCGGATCCACTCAAGAGTTCACACTTTTCGCTCGTATAGCTGATAGAGCTTCATGTCGTTGCTTGCTCGAATAACAAATAGACTGTTGATTTGTTTTGTTCTGGTCTTTCACAAGTGTTTGCAATTTTCACTGTCTGGTGACGACAAGAAGCAGTGGGCTCCTTACTAATCGGCTAGATAAGTGTGTGCTGTTCCCGGTTCTCTTACTAAAAATCGTCATGTTGCTCTTATGAAATTATAAACCAGAGGCTGAGTCATCAGGGGAATGTCGCTTGTCGTTCGTTTTTTTTATTCTGCTCTTTTTTTTGTTGGACAAAGCCAATGCAACGCATGCTCAGTAGGTCTTTAAACGGCCAGCGAACAACAAGCGTTAAGCGATGTGTCCAGATAGTGTCGGCCAACATGACAGGTCCTTTAGATGGCATCGGTTGGATAATTGAAAAACAATTAAGCAGTCATTAGTGGATACTCAGTGGAAGCGCAGCCAGTTTGCATACATTGTGTGGTAAGTAATGGACTTGACCAGCGACTACGCGCATCGGCATATTGTGAAATTGATGACGATCACGCTGGTCGCCTTTTTGACCGCCTTTGGACTCCTGGCCAACCGCTATCATCCGGGAAGCCGTGAAAGGTTCCGCTTCTCAAAGGCTTTTCTGGCCTACGACTTGCTGTGGACCACTGCATTCAGCTTGGTTTACGGACGAGAGATCTACAAGGACTTTAACCAGGGTCAGATCAACATGAAGGACGCCACCACTCTTTACAGCTACATGAACATCACGGTGGCTGTGATCAACTATGTGACGCAGATGACAATCAGTGGCCATGTGGCCAAGATGATGAGCAGAGTGCCGTTCTTCGAAACCCTGAAAACATTTCGTCTCGACAGCCGGTCACTGTACAAATCCATCGCTCTGGCCTTGGTCAAGTCATTTGGGTTTCCCTTGACCCTCGAAGTGGCTTTTATGCTGCAGCAGAGGCGGCAACATCCGGAGATGAGCTTCATCTGGACCCTGTACAGGCTGTTTCCCTTGGTTGTCTCGAATCTGCTGAACAACTGCTACTTTGGAGCAATGATGGTGGTGAAGGAGATGCTCAATGCTCTGAACGCCAGACTGGAATCACAACTGCAGGAGGTCAACATGCTGCAGCGAAAGGATCAGCTGAAGCTGTACACCAGATACTACCGCATGCAGCGATTTTGCACCATGGCCGATGAACTGGACCAGCTAGAGCATCGCTACAGACTGATATATGTACATGCCGGAAAGTATCTGACTCCCATGGCCCTGTCCATGATCCTGTCGCTCGTCTGCCACCTGCTGGGCATCACAGTGGGTTTCTACACACTGTACTCCGCCATGGCGGACACCTTCATCATGGGCAAGCCGTACGATGGCCTAGGATCGCTGATCAGCTTGGTTTTTCTGCTCATTTCGCTGGCGGAGATCTCATTGCTGGCGCTCTTGTGCAGCAACCTGTTGGAGGCCACCCGGAGACCAGCGCTCATCCTTCAGGAGATGAATCTCCGGCACGCGGACTGTCGCTATCGCCGGGCAGTCCATGGCTTCACTCTGCTGGTCACCGTGACCAAGTTTCAGATTAAGCCGCTGGGTTTGTACGAGATGGACACGCGGCTGATCAGCAATGTCTTCTCGGCGGTGGCCAGTTTCCTGCTGATCCTGGTCCAGGCTGATCTCTACCAGCGTTTCAAGAAGCACTAATTATGTTACTTTAATGATGTTACCCACCTGGCTGAACTGCATCAGATTTTCGGACTGTCGAGAGAATATGTCAACAAATTAGTAGGTTAAAATTCATATAAAAGATGAGTAACTCACGTTTAATCCCTGCAGAAAGGCCATAGGTTCAGTGGTCCTGGAAGCATATAAAATAGTAAGTAAGTGCGGAAACCACCTGTGATCTGGTGTACCCACAGTTCAGCTGTTCCCACCACCGCCTGATCAATGTCCGCCGGCACATCTTCCACCGTGGACTCGGCCGATCCCAAGGAGGCTTCATTGGTCACGTGGATATCATCTTCGGAGTCTGTGCTGCGGTGCAATAAATCGAACAAAATAAAAGTAAGTGCGGCGAAATTGCGACTTTGCTGGCTGAACAAACACGAACGAAGCAAGTACAAGCGTGTAGCAACATGCATGGCTTACGTTTACCCCCAACTTCTATGGACTGGGTCTATACCTGATTTTGTGCCACGACATGGGCTGGGATATATACATTCCGGGCAGCAATACCTGATCAACGGATCGCGAGGGTGGGGAGGGTTAATATTATGGATTGCTAAAAACTAACAAATTAACAGCCACTGACGAGGGAACGGATTCTATCATTCACCGCGAAACGCACACACTCGCGCCCAATCCGATATGTATCGCCGCCAGCGCGTGGTTTTAAAATTGCTCACCGCTTGTTTAAGATTTTTGTATTTGTTCTGGCATTGGAATCATCATTGGGCAGGTTTCCAGAATTGCTGGCAAACTGCATGTTATTGTTGAGGTAGGATCCTCCGGGTGTTGGCAACTCCTGCGTCATCAAATGCGGATTTCCGCTGGCCATGAAACCCTGAAGCAGAGTGGATCCGCCACTGATCGAGGGTCTCAATGGTGGAATCGCAAAGAGCTCATTGCTTACGACGGGATACAAATCCAGGTATTCCTCGAAAGATCCCAGCAAGAAAGTCTGACTATTGTTACGCGAAACAAACGCAGTGTTTCTGTAGGGAAATAGAGCCACTCTTTGGTTTAAATAATTAATTAAATTTTATCGCCGCTTACTGGTTAATAGTCATGCTAATAGACGAGGTTTTCTTAAGCGACATGGCTGCGGGTTAAAAGAAACTTTATTTCTGCATTTGCATTTGTACACAAAGTTGGCGTGCTTTCAGGGCTGTCGCCTTTCGCGAAATTGACTGCTACTACGGCAGGTGGCAGGGCTGCCAGCCTTTTCAAGTCTATCGATTACCTATCGATTGATGGTTTTTGCCCCTTCCAAACAGTGCTGCCCATAAGGCGCCAATTTGAATGTTAATTAATAATCAAATCTTTTTATTGGTTGTTTGCATATAGTACGCCACAGCAGGACAATTGATTTTACTGTAAGCCCCTTTGAATTGCTGGCCACTTTTCTGTAGGAGTTTTTGTTTCTAAAATTAAATAAATCTTGAGTTTTATTGACGGCTTATTTTTGCAAAATATTAAAATTAAAAGCCGCAATTTAGATAAAGCTTATGCAGCTAGGGCGTACACATATATTTACAATTCTTAAATGTACAAAAAGTCGCTATTGGCAGAACATTATTAATGAGCTAATATTTCTCAGTCGTCACATCGCTCGGCGATTCAGTTGATCGATTCTGGGCTTCTGTTTCGGTGGTGAGATCAGAGCTCGAAGTTTGTCTCGAATGCCTGGGTAGATATAAGAAACAGCACAGTGATGATAAGTGTACAGTGATGATGGAAATGATTTTGGTTTCAGTACCATACAATAGAGTTAAAAAGTCTTTCTACAGTGATGAAAAATTATTCAAAATTAAACGATTTTTTAAAAATACTTTGACAAATTGTTAGCCCGAGTTGAGTTTAGTTTTATAAAAAAAAAATTCGATCGCTACTTATCGTTTTACATTTGAATTGATTTTGATTTAATACAACATTTGGTTGAGAACCAAAAGTTTACAGTCATGGTTTACTTTTATGTGGAAAACTTTAAGATAATAAACGTTATTCTAGATTATTTGAAAATACCCCCTGTTACCTGTAGAAAACGTAGTGCTGCAGCATGAAGAAAATGTCGAAGAGCACTGAGAAGAGACCCAGTCCAAACTTGGTGGGATCTCCGAATATGGACACCCAGTCGTCTGTAATTCAAACCGAGATTAAGCCACATAAATCTATATTTAGGATTATACATACCGTAGTTGTGGGCATTCAGGATCATCTGCAGCATACTTAGAGTGCCGCCCGTGAAGTCCAGCAGGATGTTGCCGATGCTCCAGCCGGAAGTGCTCTTGCGGCGGTAGTTCATCAGAGCCTGCGGCACGTACTTGATGATCGTGATGGTCAGCTTCACGTAGCTGCAGTAGTACAGGAAGTCCAGCCAGTGGATGACGTTGCCTCCGGCCAAGCCGGCCGACACAATAACGACCACGGCAAAGATTCCCAGGATTCCATAGGCAATGTACGATACTCTTTGCTGGGCCCTCTGCAAGAAGTAAATGATATAAATTAGTATTACAAAGATGGTATGGTATCTTATCTCACTTCTTATCGAAAATATTCAATGTGATTCATTCGAATTGCTATTTTCGATTAATAGCCATTTATGTTTTAGTACTTAAAGGCAGTTCAATTCAATAATTGTTGTCACTTTGGTGATAAGTATGTTTAATGGTTGATTTGTACAAAGTAATCAGTTAACTATTTTTAAAATCACTTAACCACTTTTGTTACCTGATAGAAAAAGTACTGCAGGATCGTAACGACGGTGGCAAACATGGCATGCAGGGAGAACACCACATCGTTGAGCATCACGGGATTCACGCCGAGGGGATGCCGCTCCTCGTACTCGTCCTGCAGATCCTTGACGAAGTAGAGGCCGCAGTTGAACATGCTGTACAGCGTGAAGCCCACGATGTTCAGGGTGACGAAGTCGAAGTTGAGACCCTCCACCGACTTGCGGCGGAAGTTGATCCAGATCTGCGGATAGAAGGACACCGACCAGGCCACAAAGTACACCCATCCGAAGACAAGAGAGGTGTATATTAGAGCCCGTGATTTTGCCACTGTCACGCGCACAAAGACATCCTTTACGCTGGAACGATAGATATAAGTTATTTATAGTTATGGCATTTATGGGATATATAAATATGTTAAAATTCCAAGTAATTACTCACATCTCTTTGCTTGCAGCATCGCTATCGGCGACCACTTTCACATAGCCAGCACTGTGGCCAGTTATCACCACCGTCTGATTCTGGGTACTGCCGGCCGGATAAGTGAATTGCGTCGGATTCAGGCTCAAGTGGTCATCGGAATCCGTGCCCAGCGTCACTTGCACTGCGGTCGTTAGCGCCTCGCTGTAATATTATAATTTATAACTTTGATTTTCTTCTAACAATTACAACTCACCTGGCGAACACCACGAAGGTCTCGTTTGTATTCAGGAGTACGGTGATGTCATGGGAATCGACGGTGAGTTGACTGGCTTGTGCCTTTCCCAGAGCAACTGTGAGTAAGACAATGTTTAAACACCTCTTCTGGATGCTGGGCAATCGGAATCTCACCTGTGACCAGGAGCAGGAAAGCCAGGCGGAATGTGCTCACATGCCGATCCATTCTGGTCTGGTTTGTCTTCTTACTCATGCGTGAGCCTCCAGACCTGTTGGCATCTTCTTCAATGAAGCCCTATATGGGTATTGATTTAAACATGAGCTACTTCAATTGACCAATTGGCGACAATCGATGGAATCAATTCTCTGGAGTCTGCAGTGAATCTCCTCGCATTCAATTGCAAGTTTAAATTTAATGGTTCACTTATTGACTGTGAATAAGTAAAATGTTCAAAAAACATTTGCTCCTCTTAAATAAAATTTTAAAATTTACGATATATTGTTTTTGTTTTAAAAATGAATTTCTTAATAATATTTTTAGAGCTATTAAAGCACAAAATTAATGAATCTGTTCAGCGCAATCAATAGTTTTTCTTAGATAAAAAAAATCAACTTGATTATTTAAAATTTGCAATATTTCATATAATTAAAAACAAATTCTGTTTATTTTTCTTAGCAGCTTTTAACTCATTTATGTATCTATATCTACCTGATTCTACATGCACAGAATTTTTGTGTTGTGATAAAATTGCTGCGTGAGTATGCAACCTTCAACAAATGTCGATCAATGTTGTTACAACTTTGCAATTGGAGCAAACTTTTGCACGACAAACGATCTCGAGCACGCACTTTATTTTTTAATTCTGGGCCGTGGCAGGAAGTACACGGCTTTGTCGGCCAGTTTGGTCGTAAAACCCGAAAGATTCCAGACTATTTATATGGCGAGTGGTTTATAGGGAGGGGGCCGTGACAAGGCGATTGCCAAGAAGTGTAAATACCGCGTGAGAACTGGCTTATCTCGATCAATGGAGCTGATAGTGTCAATCGAGTTTATTCGTGTTATTACGGCAGTATGCCACAACTCACAGATAGCCCATAGATGGGGAAATGCACTACGATCGCCAGATATGTAACTGCCTGTTGCTATTCTGATTGCAAGTCACGATACGGCAGTGAACTTGGTTCCCCTATAAATCATTCATATTTGTAAAGATTTTTAATTCAGCAATCGTTATACAAAGGATCAAAAGGACATTAAAAATATGTTTGAAAATATTCAAATATTTGTGAACATATCTATCAATTTAATTTTAAAATATTTTAAAGTTAATCAGTATCATTGGTGGTAAAGATTCAATATGAAATATAATATACTTATAAAATGTTTTACATAAAACTTAGATTTCTTTTCTTATCCTAACTATTTATCTTCCCCATCACCCTATAAATGTGCTTTTTTTTTCTGATAAAAACGTCTGGAAAACACAATTGTTTAAATAACAGCCATTCATTCACAATTCCGAGCACAAGATACGTCTGTTTTGCGTTTGTTTCAGCCGGATTAGAACTTTCACTGGCGTCTGGGAAAGCAGTTCGGAGATTTCTGCGTCTAACGAAACACAAGTTCTCCGCCCGTTTTGGTCGAAAGATAAAGATATTAAGTGTTTCGGACAGGCTGTTTGTCAAGTGATATACATCACATCGCATCCCATCACATCACTCACGTTAAAATTAAAGTTAAACAATGTGCCCAACTGACGATTAAACGGGTGTTAATGGCGTCAAATGAGTTTGGAACCGATGGCGTCTCTCCAGCAACTGAGTGCGCGATTCGATGGAGCCGTTTAAATATTGGAGCGGTGCAGTCGCTGCGCAGTCAGCGGCGACGACGACGTCGACAGCGACGCCCCACACAACAATAACAACAACAACAACAACAACAGCAATTGGAGTGAGAGCGAATTGCCACCGCCTTTATGTTTTATTATATTTTATTTTTGCACTTGAGAACCCATCGTCCAAAAAAGTGGGTACTTGGCCGGAATAAAGCAAATAATTTGACAACACACTTTGGGGATGAAAGCTACAACAGGTTTTTTAAAATGATCTACTCTTTCCTTAGCTAGCTTTTTAAAAAATAACCAATAGCAATAAACCTTTAACTTAACTTGCATTGTAATTCTGAATGAGCTGAACATTTTTTAGATTGAAAAATGGTATTTAGAACTTTAAGTTCCTCTTCTGAGTTTCGCCAAAATTCCAATTGAGTCATGTATTGATAAACAGGACCCGATCTGTTTACAATGAGTCTTAAAATTTGAATACATTTGGATACACTAGGGATTTTTGCAAAAACAGAGTTTATGTGTTCAATTCAGTTGATTCTTTTCAAGCTTCATTTGACAAAATGAATACTATTGTGAAATTTAATTGTTTTTTATTTTAGAATAGATTTTTTAAAAAACCAACAATAATGTTGAAAATTAATTGAATTTATTACTATAAATTTATTATTAAAAACATAAACTTTCCACAAACCATATTATTTTTGAAAGTTGTTTGTTTGTTTAAAATGTTTCGAAAAGCCAGTTGAAAACAGCTACATACATTTGTGAATAGTTTGGTGTTACAATGAAGTTTTACCTTTATTATATAAAATTCTTGAAACTCAACTGCAAAGGGTATTCCCCACAAGCATATTGCAGGCTTTTAAACTTCTTATCAGGCGAGGAAACAGTTTGAGGGACCTGCAGAAAGAGCAACAGTAAAGTTTTATTAGCATTCGATAAGGGCAACGACTCGAACTTATCAAGTTTGACTAAATGGTACATGAGCGTTCCACCGACGACTGAAAAAAAGCTAAATCAAACAAAAACAAATACAAGATTCACTTTCTACAAACTTTTTTTTGCTGATGCAGAATAAGCCACGATCCGATCCACTTGTGCCCAATGCATAATTTTGCAAGCCAATCGAAAACTTGGCATGGAACTCGGAAATATGTGCCAAACGAAACTTAACGAAATCAAACGAAACCAAACCAAGCACGACTTGGCCACCAACTGCTTTGGGGCTGAATTTCCAAAACATCCGGGGGAGAATCCGACTCCACTGGAATCACACAAAGGGGGTTCACATGGCACGTGGGATACGATTGCACTGGTCAAGTAAGATAGATGATCAATAAACCAGTTTAATTTTCACATATGTATTACAAAAAACGCCAAGCTCAAATCACATTAAAGAATATATCGAACGTAACACATTAACATATACGTTGAATCAAGGCACTCGAACTGTCATGGATTGGCTCCTCCTCGTTTTGTCTTGTCTAAGGCACTGATTTCGCGATGAGTCGATGATTAAATAAGTTAAAGGTCGATTGCAGGACACTATAGACTATGTAGCTGCCAGCGAGTATGCGGTATGCAGTCTGATTCAGTCGTCACCTGGTCACTGGTTCTGGTTCTGGCCAGCGCGTCGGTTCTTCTCGAGTATCAAAGCGCGACTGAAAGCGAAATAAGTAAGTAGTAGTTGTTGAGAGAGCAGAACATGGGGCCTAGCGACTGATCAACTCACCGGTAGCGCTCATAGAAGCCCACGATGGTGCCCAGTTCCTGCTTGAAGAGCCGCACCAGCATGCTGTCGAAGCCCTCCAGCTCCGGCAGACTGAACATGTTGAACTGCAACAGGTGGTCCTTGGAGGAGTCCGCCTCCGAGTAGACGGCCAGCCACTTGGGTATCTCCTCGAGCAGATACGGATTGGCCGGCACCAGGGCGTTGTGGGTGTGGGTGGGCGGGGCGTAGAGCGAGGCCTCCGGCCGGATGGCCTTCGGTGGCTCTGCCGATGTGGTGTAGACGTAGTAGGATGTCAGGCACGGATGCTGCCGCTGGCACTGCCCGGTGTACTGGTTCTCGTAGTAGGTGCCATGCATCTTGGACACCACCCGCCGCCAGCCCACCGGCAGTCCCTCGCGCTCCAACGGATGATTCCAGTGCGTGGTATGAGCATTGTGATCGATGTAGTACTTCCGCCCGTGCAGAGTGTACTGCGTGGCCCAGCCGGGCGGCAGCGGCAGCTCCTCGGGCTCCGTGAGCGACTGCTGAGACGGCACCTTCTGGAGTGAGCCATTGCCTCCACTGGCACTGCCTCCCGCTCCGCCAGCCGCACTGGGCGGAGTTCGCGGCGGAGCGTACAGCGATTGCACTGAGGTAGAGGCGCCACGAACGCTGCCAGAGCTTCCGCCAAGACCGCTGCCGCTTAGCGATCCTCCGCCGCCGCCGCTGCCCGAAGGCACAGCCAGGTGACCCTGGTGGTGGTGCGGCGGAACCACGGCCAGCGTGGCCGACGAGGCCGTCGTGTTGCTGTAGATCGGAGATTCCGAGCGCTGCGACTGGGTGGCGCGCATCGAGGAGACCCGGTAGGGGTTCTCGTAGATCGGATACGAGTCGCTGGAGTAGCTGCCGCCCAGGTGAGCCGCCAGTTGCTGGTGCTGCAGATGTTGCTGCTGCTGCTGCATTGGGGACCTGTGGACGCAGACAAGTTGGTTGTGAGTAAATAGATGATAATTTTAACTCTACACACTACCTGGTCAAATTCCTCTCACAGACCTTCGAGAAAAAGTATACATATATAGGTTCTTATTCTTATTCGAATTTTTAAGCAATAAAAACATATAAAAAAACTGATTCTATTGGTTTGTGTAATTTAACTTTAGCTTGCTACATATTATAATCATCATTCCCTCAGCATTTATATATTTAAATATAGCTTAAACAAATTTAAAATTTGTCTTTGTATTATTTTATATTAATCTTTTTCATCATTTGTTAAATTAATACAAAATTGACATTGTAATTGTTTTTTTTTTACTATTTTTGAGCTACAAATAAAGCTTCTGAGCCCTGACTTTAAGTTCATTTAAGTTCAAAACTTGAAATTTTGCATTAACAACATTATTAAAACAGGTATATCGTAGAGATCACAGCTAATACACAATAAATACCTTCTATAATGGGCTTTAAATTTGTGTTAATTCCATTCGTTCTCTTACCATGTCACCAACAAATTAAATGACCCAAATAATAAGACTGAAGTCGTAATAGAGGGCCCTACCTTGTGGGTTGGTACCGCGGCTGTCGCTCCCGGATGGACATGGCGGCCGGATCGAATCGCAGTGTGGAGCCGAAGGGCGTGGAGGCGTGCTGCTGGTGGATCTGAGGATGCTGCTGCTGCTGCTGCGGCGGCGGCGGAGGAACGGCGTAGTGAGCGGGCGAGTGGGGCCGCTGGGAGAGTTGCAGCATGTTGGCATAGGAGGCGCTCAGCAGGCCATGGTCACCATCGTAGCTGGCGGCACCCAGGTGCGGATGGTGCTGCCGCTGAGTGGTGGAGTAGCTGCGCTGGAATCCCCCGGCTACGGGGGCAGGAGAGGATGTGGTCTGCAGCAGGGGCGACGACTGCTGGCGGCGCATCCGCTCGATCTGCTCGATGTTCACGTAGTTGCTGCTGCTCTGGCTCAGTTGGTTGCTGCTGGCCCGGAATTGGTGGGGCGGCAGGGGTGGATGCGTGTGCACATGGGGATGGGCGGCGGCGGAGGCAGGGTGGGTCAGCGAGTGGGGATTGTGGCCGAGCGGCGTGTGCTGCTGCAGCGGCATCTGACTCTGGGCCCGCCGCGCATGGTAGTAGTCCGGCTGGGAGTCCGTGCAGGAGTAGGTGTTCCGGCTGGTGCTCGAGCTGCGCGGATGGAACTCGCAGCTGGGCGAGGTGCTGGCGCAGCGCTGGAGCGACTTCTTCTTGTTCGCCCGCTGGTCACTGGTCCACACATTGATCACCGGAATCTGCGGCGGGGTGTCCTTCTTCATGTACTTCCCCACCACGCCCTCCTTGTGCGACTGCGATTTCTCCTTGCTGCGCCGCGAGAGCATCGTCGGTTTTCGATTGCACAGCAGAATCGTTAGATAGTTCATGCAGACTCTGTTTGCACTCTGATCACGGTTCCTTGTCTTTGTTTTAGTCCATTTTTGAGCTAATTTTACGCTATTTGCCCAACTTTTTGTTATTCAGCTGCGGGCCAGTGTTGGTAAACGCACGACGATCGATACTATTGCTCATTGTTAATTTTCAACATTTAGGGTAGTCATGCAGTGAGACAGAGGCATTTCTGCAACAAATAAATTATAAATTGTACACATTTAAATTATTAAACATATTAATTAAAACCATTTTACCTCAAAATAGTATTTATCTTATACGGCCTTAATACGGCAACTTAAAAATATTTGTGTCGCTCTCTAAGGCATGGACTTCTTATCTAAGAAAATAAACGCTGTTGCGAAATCTAGCCACTGTTGCCGCCAGTGTGAAAAGGCTTTAACTATCGCGACAGCTTTAAAACTATCGGATCCGGTCATACCCCAACTATCGATAGCGGCATCGATGACTTGTCGTCCCCACTGCATCGACGCTCCAAGCTGTTTATTTGGGCTCCAAAGCGAAGGAAATTCTTAGAATTCACGAAAAATTAAAGTATTACATATAGTGCGAATTATCTTGAAAAGCCATTTATGGTTTGACAGCCTTGTAGCAAACAATTCGACTCAAAAATGGAGGTGAAGGAAGTGGTGGTCATTGTAAAGTGGAGCGGCAAGGAGTACCCGGTTGACCTTACCGACCAGGACACTGTGGAGGTGCTGCGCCACGAGATCTACCACAAGACACAGGTGCGCCCCGAGCGCCAAAAGTTGCTCAACTTGAAGCACAAAGGTAAGTGGCTAATAAACTTTAATAAACTGGGGATTTCCAGTGATCCAATATCCAATTACTTGCAGGAAAAACGGCGGCCGACAATGTGAAGATCAGCGCCCTGGAACTGAAGCCCAACTTCAAGCTGATGATGGTGGGCTCCACGGAGGCGGACATCGAGGATGCCTGCAGCCTGCCGGAAGACATTGGCGAGGTGGTCGATGACTTTGACGACGCCGAGGAGCGCGAGGAGTCCGTGGAGCACTCCCCCGTATACTTGGCCAAAGTGCAGCGCCGCGTGCGTGACTACAAGATTAAGGAGCTGTCGCCGCCACGCGAGGGCAAGAAACTCCTCGTCCTGGACATCGACTACACCCTTTTCGATCACCGCTCGCCTGCTGAGACGGGCACGGAGCTTATGCGTCCGTATCTGCACGAGTTTCTTGCCTCCGCCTACGAGCACTATGATATAGTGATCTGGTCCGCAACCAGCATGCGCTGGATCGAGGAGAAAATGCGGCTGCTGGGCGTGGCCAGCAATGAGAACTACAAGGTCATGTTCTACCTCGACTCCACGGCCATGATTTCGGTGCATGTACCGGAACGCGGGGTGGTAGATGTGAAGCCGCTGGGCGTAATCTGGGCCCTGTACAAGCAGTACAGCTCCAGCAACACAATCATGTTCGACGACATCCGCCGGAACTTCCTGATGAATCCCAAGTCCGGCCTGAAGATCCGTCCCTTCCGTCAGGCCCATTTGAATCGCGCCACGGACACGGAGCTGCTCAAGCTGTCCGACTATTTGCGCAAGATCGCCCATCACTGCCCGGACTTCAACTCCCTCAACCACCGCAAGTGGGAGCACTACCATCCCAAGAAGAACTCTTGAACTCCTCATACGCGATTGTAAGATTTGTAAGATTCGCATAGGTTTAGGTTTATTAAATTAAGATGCTTTTTGTACGCATTGTGTCCCAGCCGAATGTTAGAGTGTGTATCCGCCCTGGTCCGCCCAGTGGACCCTCCTAGCCTCCAGGTACTCCTCGTGCAGCCGCCGGCGCTCGTCCTCCAGCTTGGCCAGCCGGCGGTAGCGCTGCAGCACCATGCCGCAGCCGAAGAGCATGGCCACCTGGCAGATCAGCCAGAAGATGAACAGTGCGATCAGAAGGCTCTGGTTGATGCAGACGTTCTCCAGGTGCAGCTGGTCGTCGATGCCGGCTATCAGCAGCACTCCCCGCTCGCCGTACAGGTAGCTGTTGGCGTTGCTCTGGTCCGGACCATGTACCCGGATGTTGTAGTTGAGAGGCAGTTCCTCTTGCGCAGTGGACTGGTTCCGCTTGCCTTGTTCCGGGGCCACGTCCACCACGGTCGAGATGTACACTGGGTTCTGGACACGCAGGTCTTCCGGTCTGCGATCTGGCTGATCCGCCTGCCGCCTTCTCCGCTGCCAGGAGGCACTCGCACAGTTGCTGGGCGAGCAACGCTCCACGCAGAAGCGGATCTTGACGTCGAAGCTCACGTTGGCGGTGCCCGAGAACTTGAAAGCATGGAAGCGGGCGCGCAGCATGCTCCTGGTGGCCGAGTGAACCCTTTCCAGGGCCGGAAACACACTGGCGTCCGTGGGACAGCCGCGCTCATCGATCAGCAGCACGTAGTTCTCGTTGTCCGCCGTCTTGGCCACCAGCGAGCTGGCACGAAAGTCCGGCAGCGGTGCCAACTGCAACTCCGTGTGCTCGGCCAGCTGCTGCGGGCTGTACTCCGCCACGATCTGGAGTTCAAGGTTCTGGCCAATTTGTACGTCGTTCGTCTCGTGCTGGTGCGACAGATCCATAATCTGGAGCGAGATGCTGGGATACGGACTGGGGCCAGTGCTGCTGTTGTAGTGGACGACGCCCTCGTGCGGGAACATGCTGCAGGGATTGGTTAGATTGCAGATAGAGGCTATCTTGGAGAGACTTGGATCTGCAGGCGACTCACTGTTCGGCGTACTCCAACGAGGACTCCAGGGCAATGGCACTGGGCACGTGCTCCGAGGCATCCACGCTGCTATCCCGCACCGAAACGCCCAGCGAGGCGGTGGCGTTGCTCTGGATGCATCCCACCTTGATGAGCCGGTCGCCCTGGGTCTGCACATTCGGGTTGTTCTGGATGACCACCAGGGCAGAGATGAAGGTTCTGGGCAAAGACATGATTTTGGATACGGTAAGACATATGATAAGATTGGAAAATATGTTGGGTGTGGTGAACTACTCTCCATGCTACTTGAGATATGTTTAGGTTACGATTAAGGGTTCCGGTTAGGTTTAGATGGGACTTATAAACTAGTTATAATTTTGCAATTTAGTTAATAAATTTGAAACTTTTTCCTAGAATGTACTTATATTCTTGCATTAGATCTTGCCTTGTGCGTCCGTTAGTTTTACCAAAAGTCGTAATGATATGTTCCATATATAGGAACAATCAGAAAAAGAATTTGAACAAAAATTCGAACTATGCTGTTTTATACTTTATACAAATATACTTAAATATACTCCAAAAAAGTTTACTATTTAACTCGGAAAACGATGTCAACTATAGTGGAGCGTAAACGCCATAAATCTAGATATAGTCGTTTTATAAAATACTTAATTTTAGATATAGCTGTAAGGGAATATGAATTTAAAAAAAAAAGAAAATTAGTTAACAACTAGTTTAAGGGTACAAATAATGAGTGTGGATTAGATCATCGATTAACGAGGCCTAATTAAATATCTGGGGTATTTTATCACCTTTGGTAGGCCTGAGTCATTTCGTAGGCGCGCAGGATGCCACAGCGGCTCTCCTTGGCCTCGCTGCCGATCTGGAGCGTCAGCAGGACACTGCCGTTGCCGGATCCGCGGGCCAGGCAGTCCTTGGAGTGCATGCTGGCATAGATCTTTCCAGCGAACCAGTCCTTCGGGTTGTACTTGATGGACATCTCATCGCGGGTGCAAAACACCCTGACTGTGCGGGGGTATAGAAACGTTTTAGACTCGCACATCCCGCATCCCACATCCAGAAGGGGTACTCACCATCCAAGCACTTGACCCGCCGCATGTAGACCGAGTTATCCCGGAGCTGCAGGCTGCGTGGACCCAGGGACACGATGTCCTCGGAGTGGAGCAGGCACTCGGACGGCGAGAGCTGGTTCACATAGTGGAAGGAGACGCCCTGGCAGTAGAACTTGGTCTCGTGCGAGCACAGCGCCTGACACTGCAATACGGATACGGAGGTGGAGGTCATCAATCACTCAGTCGACTCCCATCGATTTCGATTACAATCATAATGCGCGACAGGCGAAGCGCGGCGGACACACCTCTTTCTGGGAGAGTCCCAAGTACCTGGCCTCCGCGTAGATGAAGCTGCTGTTGGCGTACAGCTCGTACGAGCAGTTGTCGCTCTCGACGGCCCGCTCGTGGCACTGGTTCTCCATGTACTCCTCGTCGTAGGGAGCCGCCCGGAAGGCGTCCGGCTGGATGGTCTTGTCCCTGTCGCTCAGCATGCACCTGCCCAGGCGGGGGGAGGGCCTCTGGCCAGGACCCGACTCGCCACGGAACCTGCGGGCGAAGGCCAATGGGGAATCCTTGGTTAGTTGGCGAGCTTAGACTTTAATTTACACGGCGGCTGATTTATGACCTTACTCCCTGGAAGCGTTGGGAACTATGCATACAAACATTTCCTTTCAAAAGTTTCTTGTTATTATTATTAATTTATATGAGTTATCAATATTTTATAAAACATAAATATTTTGTATAGATTTAGATCAGCTATTTGATTTACAATTTGATTTAACCCATTATATGGCATGAACACCAATTTGAATGGGCATTTTGTTTATCTCTTATTTAATTTTCTACACTTTTATTAAGTAATAGGAGTTTCCCAATTTCTTGATTTACATTACGAAATAATGGCCATAAAAAAAGGTTAACTATCATATAAGATTTATAGTTTCAAGACATACCTTTCCAATATAATCACGGTTAATTAAAACTTATTTATTTACTTATTAAGGCAAATAAAACTGCTGTTGACAAGCAAATACATATTAAAAATATTTTTAATGGGTAAAAAAAATGATATGCCTTAACCATAGGAATCTCTACCTTTTTTTTAATAGGGTCTTTAAAAATTAGTCGTTAAAGTAGTTGTAAACCGTTGTACTCAAAGTTAAAGGTATTCCTTTGACTTTTATATTTCTTAGGATTTTTAAAATACAACATATATATTTGTTATCACAAAATTGTATTTACTTTGTTCTGCTCAAAAAGCGTAGAAACAGAAAACTTTACATATGGGGAATTCAGAATTCCCAACCTATCCCATCACAATCTGGAGTGATGTCATAAACCGGCCGAAAAGTCTCGGCCATGCATTAAAAATGCACAATAAAAGCAATTAATTTGTCCGGCAACAAACGGCGACAACAACAAATAGCAAACAACAAATAACAAGCAACAACCAACCACCAAACAGTCAATTACCGCTCACGATTGTTCCGATACGATGGCGCAAAGGAGGCGGAGAGGCATTTGAATTGGGCTTCGAAGAAGCAGCGCTCGGCGCACTCACGCCGCGTGACCAGCGTCGGAATGGTCTTCTTGCTCTGGAAGACCAGCGTGCTGCCGGGGATTTTGGTCAGTGCCCAGAGACGCCCTCGGCACGCATCGGGAACTGCAAGGTAGCATTGGATTAGATGAAGGTCGGCTGGTCGGCTGGTCGGTTGGTCGGCTGTGGGCCCACGCCCCCATCCGGACTACTCACCTCGGAGGCAGGTCTTTTCGTAGAACACGGCCGCGCCGTCGGCCACCAGCGGCAGTTCCCCCGAAATGGCCAGGTATCGCGAGGTTCGCTCGAAGTAAGAGTAGCCATGGCACTCGTCCGTGTCCAGCAGATGCACATAGGCAATGCAGTCGGGATCCTCGTTGCAGATGCGCCAGCACACCTGGCTGGCCGGCAGTTCCTGATCCTTGAAGGAGCTCGCCATTTCCGGGCCGTGGATCAGGTTCCCCTCATTGAGATACTCCAGTGGTGGGCGGAAACCCACGATCTTCTGCAACTGCAACTGGTGCAGCGGACACTTGAGCAGCAGGGCAACTGGGGGGTGGGCAGAATGGAATGCCTTGAATGTGGCTGTAAGCTAAGGGATCCGCATGACTGCAAGCCAAAACATTTTTCAAATTGCCCAGCAGCCATAATAGAGGATCGAGTATTCAATTTCGATACTTGGCATGCGCACTACTGTGACTGGGCTTCAATTAATATGAAATGTTCATGCATAAATAAGCAATGGGAAAATCAATCAAGCATCTTTAGAGCTCTAAGTAGGGGGTTTGAAAATGACTGAGATTTCAGAGAGGTAATTATTTAGCACAAGCAATACAACTCCAAAAATAAGTGGTTGTAATTTAAAGCAGTATGCAAAACTTATAAAAACTCAACAAACACGAATTAAAATGGTTGTATTTTAAACGATTTTGCTTAAAATCTAATACTAACGACAGAATTAGTGATTTCTCTGTATTTTAATATTTTTAATTTGTACGAAATCTTTAGACTTATAATTATCTATTAAAACACTGAGAAATCTGTTACATGTCCATCTTGGAGTTTCCCTATTTTTAATTGTTTAGATTTGCTTTTCTCGCTTTTAACAACAAGGCATTTCCTTGTGTAGGTCATTCTAATGCAAACTCGTTCTCAGACTGTTTGTTAATAAATCTATAATAATGACAGCTGACATGCACATCCAGCAATCCTCTCAGCGACTTGTGAATTGATCTATGCAGTTTTGGCTTTGGTTTTCCACTTTGCTATTGAATGCAAATTGCGAGTGCATCTTCAGCACTCTCGGAAAACGCTCTCTGAATTCGCTGGAATCAGGTAAACGGCTTGGCCAATTGGCATAGTCAGTTGCGAATAGAACTCACCGCTTAGATTCTGCCGGAGCACTAGCAAAATCGCTGCAATTGCTAATTTGCATAGCCAGGGGGCGGTCAGGGTGGATTGGTGCATTGTTTTTCAGATGCGTTTTTGTGGTGCCGACCGCAAATAGTTTGGCATGCTCGTGTAATATATTGTAATTGATTTTTGGCTAGCACACGGGTCAGCCTCGTAAACGCATTACACGAACAGGGCTATTTGAACACTGGCTTTTTGCCTGTTTGCTGGTTATGTTTGGCACAGTTTAACACTTTGGGCACGTGCACGGATTGTTTGCCACTCAATCGCCTGCAGATTGAACTATTTGCATATGCAAATGGGCCAGAACCGAGCATCCGGGTCCACTTCAGTTCAATTCTGAATCCTGCCCATTTGTAGTGAAATATAAATTAGCCCGATGTGGGTCAGTCAGCATCGTTGTGCTAATTACTGCCAAACACATTCATACACGCACAAGCATTATTCAAGCATTTATTTTTTGAAAATATCGTCTGGCTTTGGCTTTGACTCTTGCCACTTCCATTAGCCAAATGCACTTTGCTTTATCTGTTTACTTTTATTTCACTTTAATTTGCTGGGGCGATCGTGGTTGCAGGCGCACGTCTGTCTCGCGCGGCTCTCGACTTGCAAATAGCCGAGTCTGACTCTGATCTTGGCTCTCGGTCGAGAGATCATCCCCCAGAGGCTTCCACAGTTTCGGAGCGCCAGGTAGATCCGTAGACTCACTCCAGAGCGCTACGTATGTAAATGATACGAACGCTTCTGACGCAGCAGCAGCAGCAGCAGTACACTGGGGAAAGCTTATTATTTCGGACTTAGAAAACAATTTTTTCTAATTAAAATATTAGTATACTTTTAGTTTAATGTATGTGCATATGTACCCAGTCTTATCTAATCGGTATACTATAATAAAATATATTAAACCAATTTAAACACGATTTTCTTTAAAACAAATACATTTTTTATTTTGACGAACTTTCAGATTTTGAGTATATCTAAGGCTGACCCTTAGGTGATTTGTTTTTCTTTAAAAGTTACATTTTCTTACCTATTTTTTTTATTATTTTACTTTTTTAATCTTATCAAATTTTAGCTGTGAAGCTAAGTAAAAATTAAATTTTATATATAAATATTTTTTAATACTAAAAGTTTTATACGGATAGCGATTAAAACAACGTCTTAAGAAAAATGCAATTACCTCTTCAATGTTTTTTAAAAATAGTTTATTTAATATTTTGAGTGACTACAATTTCTTTATGTAAAGAGATTTTCTAAGCGTTTTAAGAGCAATTTCTATCCAAAATCATTTGAACCAATTATCTATGTTAAAAGGTTTCTGCCAGTGTATATGGAAAATATTCGATCGAGCGTCGACGTCGCGGCTAACCGAGCGTATGAGAAATTTCATGTCAGCGTCGTCGCCGAGATTGCTGATTAGATCGCTGGAGTGTGTCGCGCGCGGAGCAGCCACCGAATTGCTCGCTGGCTCGATTTCAGTGTGCAATAAACAAAACTATTTAACGCTTGCGAAGGGATTTCGAGTGGGGCAGGGCGAGGTCCCCTTCCATTGCGGGGCACGGCTCAGTTCTGTTCAGTTCAGGTGGGATGGGGATTGGGATTGGGATTGGGATCCATCGCCATCGAGCAGACACATGCCACATCTAGCCATGCATGCTGTCTTTCCGACAGTTTGTTTGTTTGCACAGTTGCGCCCAGCATCGCTTGTTGTTGGATTCAATGGCACTTTTAACAGTTCAGTGGTTTTGGCGTTGACAACGTTTGTTTCCCTTCGTAACTGCTGCTGCTTCCGAATGACAAATGGCCGTGCCGTTGGCCCCTATCTTGGCCAGAGTTGGTTCTTACCTGTGGCAAGAGCAATCGAGCCAATTCCGTCATCAATTGTTTATCGCTAATTAGTGGCAGAGGTAGCTTTTAATTAGTGTGTCATCAAAGGGCCCTCGAGATACGCAATGTATCTGATGCAGTGTGCGATTGGCGATGGCGAACTGTGCGTGACCTTTGCGGTTGGCACTTGCCATCCATTGGCAAGTTGGCCAAGGTCGACGGCACTCTATCTCTATTGCCTCAGCGACCGAAATGTCTTGGTTGAGCGGCGATATGGTTGACATAAGGGCACATGCGATTACCCAATTTAGACAGTGAAGTCAGACTTCAGAGGGACTTAGAGAGCGTGCGATTTTGTTGAATAGTTAAGAACCTTATAAGCTGTCTTCACTTCAAAATCGTAGGCCTAGTTTTTAGATTGATTTGTGATTACCACAATATCTAGCATTCTAGCTCCAGCCATGACACAAATAACTAGCTAGCTTAGCAAAAGCGATATACTTTTATTAAAACTACACATTGTAAAGTTACTTTAAGCTACAGACATTTAATTTAAACTGAGAATTAGCCATTTGTAAAGTCAGTTAGTATACTTAGATGTTGATAATCTAATCAAAACAAGATCGTCAATCAATAAGAATACTCCAATATGCAACCCCTTTCAAACGTTGCAAATGAAACCTATAGCAATTTCGTTGAATTTATTAACAACTGCAGCATGAGTACCGCACCGCCCCGACTTTCGTTTTCGTTGTGGACACACTGCGTATACGTAATAATTCATAGGCATTGCACACGACATCCAATAACTGCGCAATAATTGCCCGTTGCAAGCAGCTACATGCCACACCCCTTTTCCCCCACCCAGGAACTGTAGGCCACCCCAAAACAACCAACAACAAGAAATGGGTTAAATAATGCGAAACATTCAGTGGCGTGACACGGAGACAGAATGTTGCAGCCACATCGCAGGACGACGAGGGTAACATTTTAAATTTTTAACGCTCCGGCTCCGGACACAAAAGCCTGCCACAACAGCAGCTGTGAGCTTATTTCCAGTCCCACAACACACTTTTACGAACTCACCTTGAACTATAAAGTCCTGGTTGAGCATGTGCGTGGTGTCAGCAACAAGGGCCAAAGAGACGCCTGAATGACGCATAAAAATAAAAGTAGCCCCCTGCATGCAACAGCAAAATAGTGCCACATATCAAAGCACTAATTAAAAATGCCAAAAAGTCATGGGTCTTCCGGGTGGGGGAAGACGGGGTTACGGAACCATGGAGCACCCATAACCGCCACCGTCTGGGTGACATGAACTCAGTCTGGCAGAGGGGCCTGAATCTGGCCAAGCAGCCAGCCAGGCGTAGCATGTGCAACTTGTCGCATTGTCTGATTCACAGAATTATGCAAATGAGCCGACGCAAATTCAGCCGGGATTGTTGATGTTGGCCAAATATTTAGACCAAGCCAGCTAGTCAAAAATCTTGGCACAAGAACAATGATTACACCCAGAAAAATAACAACATTTAACAAAAGAACACCATTTTTGTATGGTTTATTAATGGCTTCCAAAATGTGCAATTCATATTTAACAGATATCGTCAAGTGCTGAAATAATGTATGAATTATATCCAGTTCATTTTTAAAAATGGTTATATCATTAAATTGTTTGGAGTAGCATTTTATAATATAAAGTTATAAAGGATTATTTAGCCTAGTTTTTAATGTTTTTCAAGATTTGACAATAATATTTTCTAGTCAATGCCAAATATTCAAAATTACAAATCTAAAATAATGAAAATGCTTCAGAATTTCAAGAAATTGTATTTATATTTGTAAATACCTTCGAAAATTAAGTTGTTGACATTGACCTTTAAATATTAAATGTCGTAATTAAAAAAATGATCCTGGTTACTAATCTTTAACTTTAGCTGATTGCTACTTGAGCCTGATATAAGTTGGAAATGAATTTGCGCCATGCAGGCTTCTTCTCTCTGTGTAGCTGTGAAAATTGAGTGACTGACTAACTGACTTTGCTAAGAATGTGAGTGCAACTTTGTCGGGGCACATATAACCCTTTCTATAGTATAGTGTGTGTTGCTTTATTGTCGCCGGGAACTTCCGTTTTGTACGGCATGCCAGAGTTGCCGCCGGTTTCAGCACCCTTGACACCGCTCTACGGCTATGACTTTATGCTATATGGCTGGCTATATGGCGATATGGGGACCGTACCCCGCCAACCAACTAGCGTGTGAACTCGTTGGCGTTGGCGTTGACTTGCTGTGCTCCATATATGTTTGACCCCCTCCCCGCAACCTAAAGAGCCATTCCCACTAAACTAAAATTTATTTAAATCTGTGCCATAATTGTTTTGGGGCGCCTGTTGCTGCGCGTCGCCCTCGTTGAGTTCTTCTGGTTTTCGTTTTTCACTAGTCGAGGTTTGGCTTTTTGCTGCTTGTGTTCGCATAAAATTAGCTTGGTAAATTTATTGTTAGTCATTCGCAGTTTTGCCGCTTTTGTGCTGTTATGGAGCCCGTTTAAATGTCACAAGTTGCCACAATTTGTTTAATGTAGCCATGTGGCCAACAAAGCCGTTTGCCCGCTCCCCATAGTCACAATATCCTTTACCTGCCGACGAATAATTAAGAAAAAGAGTCCACTATTGAATTGCATTAAATAATATTTATTGATTTCATCATTCCATATATAAACGAATTGTAGTCGGTAGAAACGAAAGCCAGTACTATCGAATCAAAATAGATGCTGTTTTTAAAATAGTTTCCAAATGCATTACGTACGTATCATGTCGTTGGTTCTATGGTAAATTGATATTTATGAGATACAAGTAAATGATATTTGCTAACAGATTTTGTCAAAAGTTGTAGTGCCAAAGGTCTGTATTGAATGGGCTTACGTTTTTTGTGGTGCTTGCCCCTTTGGCTCCCTATTAATTAATGCAATTTGCATAATAATACACAAGTTCATAAATACATACATAAATACAATCGTAATCGTAGTACATAGTCAGTTATAGGGTGTTCACCACAAATACTTTATATTTGTTTGCGCCATGATCTATGCCTTAAATGCAGCCGAAAACAGATATTCTTCTCCACTCTTCGCTTGATCGCAAATGATTGTTATAAATGTTCTTTGTTGGTTATAAATTTTTGCTATAATTAAAAGGTTTATTTATATGCAATGGTTTTGTTTACTACAATTGGCTATATAATTTCGTTTTGTTTTCGCAAGCATTTTTAAGTTTTTATCCTTTTGGCTCATTAATGTGTTAAATCTCCAATTTTACTTCTCATTGATTCTCTCGCGGGGAAAATATCAAAGGGCGAAATTAAAAAAATTGCGGATGAGCTACGGTTTGACGATCTGCTGTTGCTGCCACTTAATTATGCCTCTTATATACTTACATGTTAAACATATTATATATTTATTAATATATGCATGTATAAGCGAATTGCCATTTATCGAATCTCTTGCTGAGTCCTTCCCTTACGTTAATGTCGTATGTCCTACGAGGGTGTGGTAATTTCAATGCGCCTCCGGAATTTTGGATGCCCAAAATGTGTGGAGGTGGAGGTGGAGTATGTGGGTGTGTTACTGTGGGTGTGTCACTGACAATCGGTTTACATAAAAGCAGGTGCTGAGTTTCGCCCTGGCAGGTGCTGATACAAACGACGTTAGCCTCCTAACAAAGCCTTGCAAGCGCCGGACCTCTCACTATATATCTGGTATTTAACACTAAATGAACGCGGTTATGTTTCGTACATAT